AGAGCATAAATATCACAAACTGACTTGTGGTGAAGATGGCATCCAGTGACAGTACCATGTTCAAACCTTCTCAGATCTACGGTGTTGAATATAACCTCAAAGGATGTTGTACATAAAAGAATAAATCTTGGGGACACTTCATGCTAGAGACTTTTATTTTGTTCCCTGAAGGATATCATTTAATGAGGGCTCCTTTGCGATCGTATCCCTTTCAGAAGCTTTGTAATCCAGTCTTGAACTGCAGTCTTTTTGGAGACTTTGTAAAATAAATAATGCCAAATCCAACACAGAATGTCTTCTGTGTCTATCCATTTCTCTGGAGTTACTGTTGGTGTTAGCATGGCTGCTAGCCATCCACTGATGCTTTGGGTTGAGTCTGTTGACCAATCAGAGGCTGCGTTCATGACTTGTCAATGGAACAATGCTACCCTTCCAGGCAAGTCTCTAGCATGCAGCATTCCTGAGGTGTATATTAATTTATGTATGACGTTCTTTGATGTTGCATACGACATCATCAGCCTGTGAGAGTTAAAGTCACTGAGCTTTTCAGTTCAACTCATCCTACTGTCAGTGTTTGGCTCTGCATGGCTTGATTTTATACACCTGTTAGCAATTAAAGCGAATTAGAAGTGTCCACATACTTTTGGCCATATAGTGTGTTACCATTACATGAAGATTCTGTGGCAGTAAACATACAGTTTGTGGAAATGTTCTTATCAAATATTAAGGTCAATGTTTTCCATCCAACGATGAAATAGAACAGTAAATATTTTGGCTAATATGAAGTTCTGTATGTCACATTTTAAAGAAGAGCTCAGCGTCCCATCAACTCAAGTTTCTGTTCTGAGAGAAGTGATCAGAGCTGATGGAGCCACTCAAACCTCAGGTAACTCTGTTTATTGAAAATGTAGCTCTCAAATTGTTTTTACTGTTCTTTATTTTAAATCTATAACCCAACATGTTATAAGTGTTATAAGTAAGCTATAAGGACCATCTTCCAAAGGTTACATCTGCATGTGAGAACAAATTCATTATTCTAATTGTGGTTCAGTTTTTGAGCCATTTAGCAATCAAATCATCCAGAAGCCTCACAGGAAATGAAACATGAACATATTTACCTATGAATGTTTATTTTAAAGCAGATCTCTGTCCTCCATCATGTCCAGATTCTGCTGTGAGAGAAATAAACAATCACCATCACTATTACAATCCTATACAATACATATCATTATGTAGACAAAACATAACAAACATTTGAAAACAAAGAAAACAGAAATGTATATGGTTTAAAAGTTTAAAAGATGACATTATGCCTGTTTTCCTTTTAGCAGGTTTAGAAACAGATATTTTTAAACAGTTAGTAGTGTTTATTGGAAAAATAGCTCATCTGTTGTTTTTTTTGAGGAAGATTTAAATCATTGTATTAATTGAATATTCAATGTAAATTTTTTGGCACGTTTCCTTAGAGGTGCCAACAATCCTATCCTTAGTCTATCTAAGGACAAATTCAATATTCACTTAGTCACTGAGCAATGATGTAATATTAAATATTAAAAATGTAATATTTTAAAGCAGATCTCAGCCCTCCATCATGTCCAGTTTGTGTTCTGAGAGAAACAAACAGAACTGATGGAGCCACTCAGACCTCAGGTAACACCATCTAATACACCATCAAATGTAGTTCATATCATTACATACACACTGGACATGATTAAAATAATTTAAAAACAAAGAAAACAGAAATGTAATAAATACTGTCATAATAACCTTTTATAAATGTTAATATTAACATATATGATGTATTTTGTAATCTGTAAAGAAGTGTGTATGAAATCATGAGATCTAACACTGTTTACTTTAAAGCAGATCTCAGTCCTCCACCATGTCCAGTTTGTGTTCTGAGAGAAACAAACAGAGCTGATGGAGCCACTCAGACCTCAGGTAACACCATCTAATACACCATCACCATCATATACAGTTCATATAATTACATAAGCATTAAACATGTTTAAGATACTTTAAAAACAAAGAAAACAGAAATGTAATAAATACTGTCATAATAACCTTTTATAAATGTTAATATTAACATATATAGTATATGATGTATTTTGTAATCTGTAAAGAAGTGTGTATGAAATCATGAGATCTAACACTGTTTACTTTAAAGCAGATCTCAGCCCTCCACCATGTCCAGTTTGTGTTCTGAGAGAAACAAACAGAGCTGACGGAGCCACTCAGACCTCAGGTAACTTATTAGACATTAAAATATTGCTACTACACACAATAGAAATACATATAAAAATACACAAGGCCAGTAAACACACTAAAAACTAGTACATTTGAATGTAGGCTACTGAAACAGTAACCCGGAAATCCTAATGCACTGTTAAGGTAGAAAGCAACAAACTCTGCATAAATATTTGGAATTTAAAATGATTTTCAATGTAAAGTTGTGTTACAGATTGATTGTTAGCAAGATAAGATTTAACAAGATGTAACA